AGCCACCCAGGCCCCTAAAAATCTCATTAATAATAGCATCAAAAAGTATAAAATACTTAAAAATAAACTTAATCCTTAGATCAGTTTTCTAGGTGTGCAGGATGGTTTAGTGTTGGTCTGGCTGTATTTCATGGACACGAGACACACAAAAAACTTCCATGCTGTTCCGCCATCTTGGCTCCCTCCTTAAAAATAAACTTAAAATGCAAGACTCCTATACCGAACATTACCAAAAAAATTCAAAATAGCATCAAAAGAAATCAAATAAAATCTAAATACAGTAAACAGAAAGACACCTCATGTTCATGGATATAAAGATTTAATACTGTTGGGGCGCATGGGTGGCTCAGCTGGTTAAGCATCTGGCTCTTGATTTCAGTTCAGGTCATGATCTCATGGTTCATGAGTTCGAGCCCCACATCAAGGTTCACAACGCAGAGCCTGCTTGGGATTCTCTTCCTCTTTCTCTGCCCCTACCTGGCTCATGAACACACATGCTCTCTCAAAATAAATAAACTTTAAAACAAAGAAAAAGATTTAATATTGTTAAGATAATAATACTCCCTAAATTGATCTACTTATTCAACAAAATTCCTATCAAAATCCCAGCTGATATTTTTGCAGAAATGGGCAAGTTGATCCTAAAATTTATATGGAAATGCAAGGGACCCAGAATCACCAAAACAATCTTGAAAAAGAATAATAAAGTTGGTATATTCACACTTCTTGATCTCAAAACTTGCTACAAAGTGGTAGTAATCAAGACAGTGTGGTACTGGCAAAAGGACAGGTATACAGATCAATGGAAAAGAACTGAGAGTCTAAAAATAAAATTGTGTCTATGGTCAACTGACTTTTAAGAAGAATGCCAAGACAATACAATGGAGAAAGAATAGTTTTTTCCACAAATGGTGCTGGGGCAATAAAATGATCACTGAACACCTACCTTATCCCATACACAAAAATTAACTCAAAATGAGCCATAAATCTAAAAATAACAGCTAAAACTATACAATTCTTAGAAGAAAATACAGAGGTAAACCTTTGGGACCTTGGATCAGGCAAGATTTCTTAGATTGATCCCCAAAGCACAGAGATATGGAAAAAAAAGGATAAATATGACTTCATCAATCTTAATAACTTTTGTACTTCAAAGGATACACTTAAGAAAGTGAAAACACACACACAAAAAAAAAAAGAAAAGAAAAGAAAAGAAAAGAAAAGAAAGAAAGAAAGTGAAAAGACAACCACAGACTGGAAGAACATATTTGCAAATCAAATACCTGGTAAGGAGCTTGTATCCAAAATATATAAGGAACTCTTACAACTCAATATTAAAAGAACAAATATCCCACTTAAAAATGGGCAAAGGATCTAGACAGTTCAGTCAGTTTATGGTCAATAAACACATAAAACAACATCACTGTCACCAGGAAAATGCAAGTCAAAACTATAATGACATATCATTTCACACTCACTAGTATGGAAATAATCAAAGTCAGTTAATAACAAGCACTGACCAGGATATAGAAAAATTAGATCTCTCATAAACTGCTGTTAGGAATGTAAAACTATGGAGCCAGTTTGGAAAACAGTCTGGCAGGTCCCCAGAAAGTTAAATGTAGTTACTATATGATCCAGCAATTCTACTTGCAGGTATATACCCAAGAGAAATGAAAACATACACCCACACAAAAACTTGTATGTGAATTTTCACAGTAGCATTATTCATCAAAGGCCAAAAAATGGAAACAACCCAAATGTCCATCAACTGATGGACAGATAAATAAGATGTGATAGATCCATATAATATATTCATATCATGTCCATACAATGGAATATTATTTGACAATAAAAATGGGGAAAAAAGGAATGAAGTAATGAGACACACTTCAATATGAAAGAATCTTAAAAATATTATTTTAAATGAAAGAAACCAGTCATGTTTATATAAAATATTCAGAATAGGCAAATCTACAGGCAGAAAGCAGATTAGGTTGCCTAGGGATGGGTATGGGAGGAGTACTAGAGAATGACTGCTAATGGGCATGAGGTTTCTTTTGGGGGAAATAAAAATATTTTAAAATTAGATTGTGGTGAGGATTGCACATATCTAAAATCATTGAGAGGGAACCTGGCTGGCTCAGTCAGTGGATCTTGTAGGTCTCTGAGTATAGAGATTACTTAAAAATAAAATCTTTTTTTTTTTAAACGTTTATTTTATTTTTGAGACAGAGAGAGACACAGCGTGAACGGGGGAGGGGCGGAGAGAGAGGGAGACACAGAATCGGAAGCAGGCTCCAGGCTCCGAGCCATCAGCCCAGAGCCCAACGCGGGGCTCGAACTCGCGGACCGCGAGATCGTGACCTGAGCCGAAGTCGGACGCCTAACCGACCGAGCCACCCAGGCGCCCCAAAAATAAAATCTTAAAAAAAGGTAAAATAATTGAATTGTGCACTTTACATGGGCAAATTGTATGGTATGTACATTATATTTCAATAAGTTTAAAAAACAAAACCAAAAGGCAACAGGAAAACAATGAAGGGAGAAAAAAGAGGATAGGAGGTGAGAAGGTACTAAAGACAAACTTTGCCTCTTTTGGAATTATTTGATGACAGCCAGCAAGCCGGGACCTAAGTTAAGAAGACCAGAACTCACCTGGAAGGGTGGAAACCTTTTCTCAGTTCAGCACAAATTAGTTTTGCTCACTGTTTCCAGTTTCAGCTCATTCAGTCCTCAATCTCTTCCCTTGGGATGAGAAGAAATGGGTATACCTCTCTATCCCCCTACCTTACACATGAGCATAATGCATCTAATGTGCATTCTTCTCCAGGGACACCTGGATGGCTCAGTCAGTTAAGCATCTGACTCTTGATTTCAGCCCAGATCATGATCTTGTGGTAAGATTGAGCCCTACATTGGGCTCTGTGATGATGGTGCAGAGCCTGCTTGGGATTCTCTCTTTCCCTCTCTCTGCCCCTCCCCTGCTTGCATACACACTCTCTCGCAAAATAAATAAACATTTTAGAAATTAAAAAAACAAAACAAAACATGCATCCTTCTCCATTCTGAGAACATGGAGCCTGTGGATGTCAAACCACTGTCTCTTCGTCTACATACTGTTTAGAAAGTACTGATAATATCTAACTGGGAAATATACTGGAAAAGACAGTCACTGTCAGCCCTCATGATAGGAACTATATAGTACAGATTTGTACATTCACAACAGCTTAGAACTCCTACTCATATGAATCAAAGAGAGACAGATGAGAATGAACGGAGGGGGTAATACCAGCAGGAAGAGAGTTATCTTGGGATTTCTAATGTCTGGGCTATTATATTGCTCTCCCACCCTCCTCCCTACCCAAGCTCCCCAACACACAAAGCGCTCCTGTTTTTATTCTGCATGCCAGAGAATTATTAAGCATGTGGAATGTATTGCTTACTATCATACAGGCACACTTCTACAAGTCAACAGAGTTCAATAAATACACAGCCATTGCTTAGGGAAAGAATATGGGCTAGGATTATGAAAACATTGATCCATCAAAGCAGAAAGCCTCCACTTTCAAAACAGGTGATAACGAAAAATGTAATGACAGAGGCTCCTGGATGGCTCAGTCGGTTAAACATCTGACTTCCGCTCAGGTCATGATCTCACAGTTTGCGAGTTCAAACCCCGCGTCGGGCTCTGTGCTATTGGTTCGGAGCCTGGAGCCTGCTTCAAATTGTGTCTCTTTCTCTCTCTGCCCCTCCCCTGCTCACACTCTGTCTCTGTCTCCCAAAAAATGAATAAACGTTAAAAAAAAATTTTTTTTTAATGTAATGACAACTTGCTTCTCATATATTTCAATCATTTCCCATGAGTACTCAATCATCTGAAGACCAACAACTATAATTACTAGCTGTTAAAAACAGGTTAGACCACTAATGAACTAGATTAACAACTTAGCTCATTACCAAACTGGGTCAGATTAAAATCTGTGCCACAGGCAAAAGGTTCTATGTTGTCAAATCCCTTAGACAATTAAACCTGATACAAAAAAAAAAAGCCAAAATATTTTAAATATTTTGACAAAAAGATGAAATTTAAAAAAATATTTGGAGACACAGTAAGATATTTAATGGACTCTGAAGACCACAACTGTGACTAAAATAAGACAATTTCTGGGGCACCTGGGTGGCTCAGTCGGTTAAGCATCCAACTTTGGCTCAGGTCATGATCTCACAGTTTGTGAGTTCGAGCCCCGCGATGGGCTCTGTGCTGACAGCTTGGAGCCTGGAGCTGCTTCGGATTCTGTGTCTCCCTCTCTCTCTGCTCCTCCCCTGTGCCTACTCTGGGTCTCTCTCTCTGTCTCTCAAAAATAAACATTAAAATTTTAAATAAATAAGTAAAGAAATAAAAATAAGACAATTTCTATCATTATATTCCTACCCACAGATAAACTTCTACAATAGCATTATACTAAATGGAAAAAAAAAAGGGGGGGTTCTTACTTTAGATAAAAGATTATTTAGTTCATGGGGATGAAGCTTTACCACTTCTCCAAGTTGCTGTGCAGCAGCTTTTCTTGTAACTGGAGTAGTGCCAGTATCCAGTAAGATAAAAAGACGGTCAAGCCTAAAATAACAAAAATATAATGATTATTCTGAAACATGTTTCCTCATAGGTGTAAGCTTGAGTCAACAAATGTATTGAGCATTTATGAAAGAAGACCTATTCTAGGGTTGCAGGAGAAATCTCTACACTCAAGGAACTTGCAATTGGGGGTAGGGTGAGAAGGAAGGCAAGTACACAAATAATTAGAATACAGTGTACAATAACACATATTCCAGAAAAGAAATGCAAAGTGCTTTGAGGAGTGGGAACAGAGGAAGTAAATAGTATATATCCCCAACTGTGTAATATTGAAAAGGCTTCATAAAAGAAATAGTATATGGGATGGACTTTCATAGGTCAGCCATGAAGGTCTTGGTTCAAGAAAGAGATGGGACTAGAGCTCTATTTTAGGAAGATTAATCTGGCAGCAGTGTGAAGCATGAAATGTAATGGAAGAAAACTTTTAGAGAATTTTAGTCTAAAAGTGCAGACCTAAACTACCATCATGACTAGAAGCCTAGAAAGAAGTTGGGAGAGACACTGCAGAGGCAAAGCACAGTGTAATAAGAAATGTCAAGGAAATGAAAGATTTCTCAGACTCTGGATCTTAGAAAATGAAGAGGTCACTTAAAAAAATGGGAACTAGTAGAGGAAATATTGTGGGAAATGATGACAAGCTTACTAGTGGCGGGGACAGGATAGCTACAAGAAACCAAAAAAGATAGTTGGAATAGAGATGTGAAGTTCAGGAAAAATTGAGACTGCAGGTATATAGGTATATGAAGTCATGTGTGTAGAAGTGACAAATGTGGCAATAAATAAAATCTCTGAGGAAAGAGTTTCCAAAGGCATACAGCATACTGGCACAAATTCTAGAGTCACAACATCACAGTTCAAACTCCAGTTCTACCATTTAACCAATGACTAAAGCTTGGAATATCACAATGCCTTATACCTGGAACAGGTGAGGAGAAGTGGAACACTATGTTCTTGTGGTTTTGGGATACAGGAAAATCCTAAGGTTTTAGAAAGGAGAAAGGCCAAGTCACAAGTAATTACCACCAGCTGTCCACCTATCATATATAGGTCTAGCTTTCCTATCACACTACTAATCAGGCTCAGTAATGCAAAGTGAATGCCAGAAGTAATGAAAAGAGCCTCATACTTCATATAGGGAATAAATGGGTACTTTAAAAAATACAGAGGATGGTAAAGTTATATCAACTGCCTAATCCTACACAAAGGGGAATTTAAAGAATACATTTTCAAATTTTATCTAATGAGAAAGAGAAAGCAAGTAAGGTCCCAAAGCTAACCATGAGCATTAAGCATCAATAAACTACAGTGAAGCTTGTATTTTACTTCTGGGATTACAGGTATTTTTCTTTCACAAAGAGCTAAAAAATTACACAACAAAGCTCTAAACGTCTTTTGTAAGATAAACCTATAAGGGGCAAATGAAATGGGCTGGACTGTTCTTTTCTTTTCTCTGGTAGTATTTATCAAACTAGCCAGTCACTAATAAGCACAGAATCATTATAACTAGTAAGAAATAGAACTAAAATCTTTTTCAGTCAAGAACAGTAAGGGTACTTTGAAAAGTCTTCAACTGCTTCAGAACAAAACACTAAGAGGTACGGTTCAAATTTATAGTTAAGGGTATATAGAAAGGACAAATTTCAAGAAAAATATGTGAGGTAATAAAAAAGCCAGTGATAACAAAGAAAAACAGAAACACAACACAGTTTTTGCTTCCGATACAATGAATGGCACACAGAGTGATTATAAAGAAACTAATTTTTGTAAGACACACAAAAATTAACTTACTTTATATATACACCATGTATGGACACAATCCACCTGCTGAAACAATTATTCTCCTTATTAATTCAAGGCTGTCTAAATACTTGCCTTTACCCATTTATTCATCAGGTTTTGCCACAGATTTGGTGAACAGTGACTCAGAAATAGTGGGACAAAAGAATAGGAGAAAAAAAATTTTTGACAACTGGTGTTATTTAAAAAATTCTATGACTGTCAGACCCAAATCCCTTCTTCATAAAATGATCTTCCCCCCATCCCATACATAACGCTCAGAATGCCCCTTGAGTTATTTTCATTTTTAAATCAAGTTGTGATATTAATGTTCATGAGAATCATCTCTGAGCCTCCACAACAAATACTTGCATGTTGCTATTACCATATGATTTTGTCAATAAAATTTGCAAAAAGAGATTTCAAACATCTATGAACAACTTTCTGTAATTATCAAGACAAAAATTCATTTTAAATATTCTATATTAAGGACTATCTGGCTAGCTTAGTTGGTAGGGCATGCGACTCTTGATCTCAGAGTTGTGAGTTCAAAAGCCTCACATTAGGCATGGAACCTACTTAAAAAAAAAAATCTTTGTATATTATATGGTAGGCAAAATTATCAAAAATTAAATAAGTTTTATCACAAAGAATGATTAGTCTTAGGTCAAATTTATGCTACTCTAAGTGGACTTATATTTGTATATGCTGCATGTCTTTTGTGTAACAATACTGGGCTCTCTTATATGTATACAGTTCATGGAGATTCAAGACTTTCCTGTGGAAAACTGTGGTAAAATGGAAAACAAACTAGACTGAAAGTTAGGAGACCTTTAGAAGTCTTACTGCTGTCACATGTTGGAGGATTCAGGGAAATTTACTTCATTTAACCTCTTATTTTGGAGGGTAAAACTAGATAATTTAGGCATATTTTAGTTTCTCATCACTGTGGGGTTTTTTTTCCCTTTTTTCTTATGTAACGTAATATTTGTCATATCTCTGACTTATTTGATGTGAAGTTCCTTAGACCTCACCTCTGGAAAGATTTCAACTACTTCATTAATTCTTTTTCCAGGATGAAGATTCTGCTTTTTATGACCAAAAGCAAAGCTGGCTGCAAAATGAACACTGTAAGGAAGTGACACTACCCTGTTTATAAAGTTAAAAGAAAATGGACAGATTGCAACATTTTCCCCCATCATTTCCACCTTCCCCAAGACGCCATTACCATTCCTCATTCCTTAAAAAAGGAATGCACTACTTCACTGAGTAGATCTCTAGGCTTTGTAACAGATCTCAAGTTCTCTCCTCACTACCTCTAAAGATTGCTTGTTACCCTCATCCTATTTCAAATGGAAAGACAGTCCTCACTTCTCTTTAAGGTTTAGATACTGTCCCACTGTTTCCTTGATATCATCCTCTTCTAGCTTCATTCAATCATCCTTTCTCTAATACCTTAAATCACTGCCTTATTAATCTATTCCCTTCTACCTTTAAATATGCGAAAGTGTGTCTCTGAAGAGAAAATAAACGGCTTGCTCCTCATCTCCTAGTTTACTTTTTCTTTTTTCCTGCCAAGCATCACAAACAAGTGTTTAAAATCACTTCTTTTAGGGACACCTGGGTGGCTCAGTCGGTTAAGCGTCCAGCTCTTGATTTTGGCTCAGGTCATGATCTCGCTTCAGGCTCTGCACTGACAGCATGGAACCTGCTTGGGATTCTCTCTCTGCCTCTCCCCTGCTTGCACGTGCTCTTTCTCACGCACTCGAAATAAGTAAATAAAACATTTTAAGAAATCATTTCTTTCCTCACTATACACAATTTCATCCTTATCAATCAAGTTTCTGTTCTTCTCTTCTACTAAAATAGCACACCTGATGGGTCACCAATAAACTTGTAAGCTCTAAATCCAACTTTTTTAAGCCCAATTTTCTTGACCTTTCTATAACATCTGATATCAGTAAGTACCCCATTTTTAAGACATTTTTCTTCCTGACTTTTCACAACTTTATATTACCTTGTTTCCATCTGAACTCTCCATTTTTCCCCTGGTTTCCCTCTTATTGCTGTCCCATATTCAATCCTTGGCTCCTTACCCCACCAGTTTCTCCCTTAGGAAACTAGGTTATTTGTTTAAACTGTAACAAGGTACAAATAATCCCCAAAACTAGTCTATCTAGGAGCTCTAGTGCCACACTTCCAACTGCCTGGTAAGCATAACCCCCTCATAACATGATCTTATTGCTAGATTTATAGTACTCTTAAAGTACTCTTTGATCAAATTACTACCTTACCCTAGAACTGTCAATGGCTCACCCTTACCTATCAGACAGTAATCAAAATCAAAAAAAGTATCTCCCAAACATGGGCCTTTTTGGTTTCCACAATTTCATCTATATCATTTCTTCCACTTGGAATGTCTTTTTTTGGTTCAGTTCTTGAGCTAGCTACAACCCATCAAGACTTAAAATCCTTTACCCTTTTGAAACGATCTCAGACTACTGTATTACAGAGGTGAACTCCTGTAATCTACACAAATTCTCATCTTGAGTAGCCATTTTGGTATTTATTATGTTTTGTTTTATGGCACCTCTTACATTAATTTGTCACATGATGTCTTATGCTCGTTAGGCTTCACCTCCTTCAGTGATTCTTTTTGTCTCCCACAATACTTTGCATAGTGTCTCTGCAAAGTCTTTGCTTAGTATTCAAATATTTGCTTAGTTGGTATTTGCTAAAATTAAAATTATAAAGAAAAGTACACATTTCTTAGGGCCAAGTGTAGGCACCATTTTTAAGCAAAAAAAAAAAATTTGTGTGCTAAAAAAAGGAGGGGGTGGTGCTATATTAGAATTTTTTTTGCTTCCTTTGAGAAATACCCTTGATCTGTAATACCTATACTATATGAAAACAAGTTGTAAAAATAACAACTGATGCTAAGGTAATGCTTCAGTAAGTGGTAAGATCAGCACAGCAGTACTTCAGCATTCTGAACATCAAGGCAGTTATGCCTGCTCCAAATAGCAAGCTGAAAGAGACCATGAAATGGGTACTGTATTCCTTCAATAATCTCCATACTTTCTAAACTTTCCTTTAGTCCCCTCTACCCAGCTTCATTGGAACCACACTCCTGCCCAAAGACCTTCAACTCCTCTCTAACTAATGCTGATCCCCTCTCACATCCATATAGTTCCTCCTGCCTCTCCTCTCTGCAAAGCCTTTTATCCCAATGCCATGTCATGTAACCTCTGCTCTTCCATCAGCCAACTGTCCAGGGGGTAGTAGATCAGCTCACTCTCTCGTTTAATCCAGGCCTATTTATTCTCACATCTTCCACCTTGGTAGTAGCAAAGCTTGCCTCCCTGAATAGAGGAATGGGGACAAAAGAATGCTTCCTTGGGTTTTGTTTGTTTGTTTGTGGAGTTCTCCCTTCCTCTATCCAAAACAGCAGAATAAACACCACACAAAAGGAAGAACAAAGGGGTGAGCAGACCAGGATCTGACAAGAGGGCAGTATGATCTGTTACCCTGGGTAGCCAGCTATGAGCAAGCAGGGTAAGCATCAGGGTCAGGACTCCATGGAAAAGGCTGGTATAGTGAACTGGTGCGGGAAGGAGAAGGGGCATGAGCCAGGGTCAGTACCATGTTGGAGGGCAGACAGGGCCCTTGGTGAAGGAGAGATGTGATGGAAGCTAAGTGGTCAGAAGAGAAAGGAAGTTAAAAGAAGGGCTAATTGAGGAAACACAGTACTTACACCAATACTTTTTGAGAGAGAGGGAGCGTGTAAGTGGGCAAGCAGGGGGCGGGGGGCAGGGAGAGGAGGAAGGAGGGAGAGAGAGAGAGAAGCAGGGCTTGTGTTCACCAGATTCAGGACTCAAACTCACAAACTGTGAGATCATGATCTAAGCAGAAGTGGATGCTTAACCGACTGAGCCACCCAGGAGCCCCACAATATTTCTTATGGCTAAACCTTCTCTTGCAGAATAGCTAGTAGGGGGGAAAAATGCCATTCTTCATTCTTTGAAGGACAGACAGATGGGAGCAGAAAGAGGTAATAGATGTCAAGCTGTATGAAAGGTACCAAAGACTGAAAAAATAAATAAAACATAAGGCAATTATATTTGACAATACCTACTGGTTATGAATTTACTGATAAGAAATCTGGCCCATTTTCAATTTGGACTTTAATTCAGAGAGAATTATACAAGACATGATTCATGTTTTGTTTACCAACCTGTGACTACAGGCAAGTGCTCTAAAGGCTGCCTAGAAAAAAGAAAGAGTACATGGAAGTTTGTAAAGGTTACTCAGGCAGGTGCAACCTAATCCCTCTTCTCTTCAGCTGTTTGCATAATGAAGTAAAGATATAAAAAGATATGGAAGAAAATCATAGACATTTTGAACTATATCCTAGGTTACTACTTCATCACTCATTTATTAAATGAGTATATGCTGGGGCGCCTGGGTGGCTCAGTCGATTAAGCAGCCAACTTTAGCTCAGGTCATGATCTCACAGTCTGTGAGTTCAAACCCTGCATTGGGCTCTGTGCTGAAAGCTCAGAGCCTGGAGCCTGCTTGCGACTCTGTGTCTCCCTCTCTCTCTCTGTCCCTCCCCTGCTTGCTCTCTGTCTCTGTCTCTCTCTCAAAAATAATAAACATTTTAAAAAATTATTTTAACAAATAAAAAATAAAGAAGTATATGTTGTGTTCCCAACTCCTTGGTCATTTGAAGATTAAAGGGGGGAAGAAAAGGTACAGGCGCCTGGCTGGCTCAGTCAGTTGAGCATGCAACTCTTTCCCCCCCACCCCCCAATTCCGGAGGCTTTATTAAATGATTATTTCTTCAGTATGTCAGTTTTTTTGTTTATTCAGGGGCATGACATTGAGCCCAACACAATCTTTTTTAACACTGTTTTTTTTTTACTATTGTTGTTGTTTAATTTAAATCCAAGTTAGTTAACATATAGTGTAACAATGATTTCAGGATTTCAGGATTAGAATTTAGTGATTCATCACTTACATATAACACCCAGTAGAGCATGCAACTCTTGATCTCGGCATTGTGAGTTGGAGCCCCAAGTTGGGGGTAGAGATTACTTTAAAAAAAAAAAAAAAGGCAGGGGGTATAAAAATAACTTCTTCAATCTACTTCCAACCTCAATATTCTCAGAATTTAAATTAAGCATCTTTGAAAAATAGTATAAAGTCAACTAGGAGAATACCTCACCTTAACTAAGAGAATGATCAGTCAAGTCTGTCCAGTTACACATTTTCCCATTTAACAAAAGTCCAGTAAAATTTAAAACAAACTGTTCGAATTTTTTACTTTTCTGTGTGACTTAGGAAATAAGAAAGTAAATACCTGATATGAACACTGTATTATAAAGTCTCACATTTTATTATTAAACAAGAAAGTTATGGTCAAAAGAAACAACTTCCAAGAAATTCTCTAGACTGCTGTTTTTAAATGTATACCTTCTAGATCATAACATGGGTAATCTGAAACTATGTTAATGGCATATTCTTTAAACAAGAAAGATTAGTTAAGACCACAGACAAAACTGAGAATCAATATGAAGATATGAAACCAAACCAAAGCCAGGTGGAAGGCCAGGTGCATGCTAGAATAAATTGCATTCCCCCACTACCACAGTAGAACATGAATTTCTTAAAATGGGGATTCCATTTTTGTTCTGTTGTATTTCTAACACCTAGAACATAGAAAGCATTCCACAAATACTCATTAAATGAATGCTGAAAAAGTACAATCAAACTGAGTTATTTTCTCCAGGACATTTTTTTCTAACCTCCATTCTTGATCCATCCATCAAGCTACAGTCTTTCGCATTACTTTATCTTAAAGATAACATCTAGGTTCAATAAAACTATTCTAGACCCAGCAATGGCACTACTAGGTATTTATCCAAGGGAGACAGGTGTGCTGTTTCAAAGGGACACAGGCACCCCAATGTTTATAGCAGCACTATCAACAATAGCCAAAGTATGGAATAAGCCCAAACGTCCATCAATGGATGAATGGATAAAGAAAATGTGGTACACACACACACACACACACACACACACACACAC